GTTTTGGCGGCCGGCGAAGCAGTCGCAAAAGCATTATCGCGTGCAGTTAGAGAAGAGATTAGACGTGGGCGCTAATAACTTCTTGCTCTACACAGATTCTTATTACTTCAATTACTATATCAGAAAGTCAACAAGCTGCAACGAGGCATGCCACGCAAACTGGACAGTCAGCCAACGAAGCCAGAGAAAGCGCTAATGCTAATGCACGGATGGGAATTAGTTTAGAGGTGGGAATTTTACAAATCTGCCTCCCCTGCCTGCTAAGCGTTTCCGAAGAGCCCAAAGGAAGTATGAGGATATTGTTTTGCGAGAAATGGGTGCATAATCCTGTATTTAGTGCTCAATAGCTAAGAAACCAAACTAAAACAATAATCCAAAAGATTAGACTTGATTGGGATACGGATGCCAAGAAGAAACTATGATCGCTAGCGCAGATCGTATCCTAAGCTTGAATCATATTTTAATTTATGGACCCGCTCAACAGATAAGAAGAGTAGTTGAAACCAGCGTTTTAGGTATCCCTTCGATTTTCAGGAATCTTTGAAGATTTTGAATATCAAGCCGCCGATTGATCCTAAAGAAGTTGAGAAGAATTACGATCATTTGTTTCAAATCAATGATAAGAACAAAGGAGGATCGTTTTATCTACAGTCAAAAGTATGTTACTTATTTCCTTATCTTAATTTTTAACGATTAAGACCCTTCCTGCAGATTTACCGAGCGAAAGAGCGGATAGATGAGGAGTTACGTAGACAAGGGGTTGAAGTTAGACAAGAACCGCAAAGCAATGAGCAAAAGAAAGTCGAAGAAGAGAAGTAAAATTTGTCGAGTAGACTAGATTTTATCTTGTTTTTGAGCCATAATGCTCTCGTTTCTCACAATGAAAAAGTCGCTGTGCTGACTTTATACATAGGCTAGAATTCGTCTAGGATCCACTTGTTACTGTCGTTGTTTCAAAATTGTTTACAAAGATAAAACATATAGATACTCTGGTTTTAATTTGACCAGTTCCTTTCATTTTCTCAACTTTTTTCTCGTTTTTGTTGGAACAACCCGTTGATATATATTGACTTAGTATATTTTTGTGGTACCTGGCTACCAAATGGCCGTAGTAAATCGAATCTACAATTTTCACAGTTACGGACTAATTGTCAGCCTGTTTTGCTATCCACACACAATCCATAAAGAAAGTATCCAAAAGTTCTTGTAAATGGATGCTATCTGTGCTAGAAATTGATGAGATGTGCGTCGGTTAGTTCTTTTTTTTTCCATTGCATGACAGAATCAGAAAACAGCTAAACATAGCGAGAAATCGACATTTGTTGTGACCCAGAAGTAAACAATCAAAAGTTTCGTGG